CCACGGATTGTAATTATTTTTTCTATTTGTCTTAATTACCTTTTATTTATTTATTTATTTTTAAAAATTTTCTCCCTTGGCCCCCCAGACTATGAGCCTCATGAGGCAGGGCCATGTCTCTCTAGCTCACCAGCTGTCCCCTAGAGCCCATGCCTGGCATGCAGCAGGCACTCAACAACTATCAGGTTTGTATAGATGAGGCTCAGAGCGGCAACACACAGAGCTGGTAAGTGGTGGCGCTGGGATTTGAACCCAGACCGGTCTTGCTCCAGAACCAGTGTCAACTCTGCCCCTGGTCATCAAGCCAGGGACAGGGCAGGGGCAGCTCACCCTGGCTGAGCTGACAGTGGTGGAGGTGCCGTGGCTGCCCGAGGACGAGCCCGTGTCGCTGTAGGACACCATGGAGTAGGTGTCCCCTGCCCCAGGGCCTGGGGGNACACACACACACACACACACACACACACACACGTACACACACGCGCGCGTAAAATAAACATGGTTCTCCAAATCCCTTTTCTATTTACCTTGAATTCTTTGGGCAGGAATAAAGGAGGGAGAGGGGAAGAAAAGGCCCTATTGCTATAACCAGCATGCCTTCATTCTGCCTGCCTCCTTGAAGGAAACTGGAGGGTCTCCACTGCTCTGTAGAAACGACACTTGTCTTTGATAAAGGGCCTTCAGGAGATGGTCATTTACCTAGGGCTGAGGCTAGGATCATTGTTTCCATTTGGCAGATAGAAAAACAGGCTCAGAAATGCCCGAGGTCACACCTGCTAATAAAAGGCAGAGCTTCAAGGAGGAGCCTATTCGGAAGGCTCACTCGGAGAGGGCCTGGATTTCAGGGAGGCAGGGACAAGTGGGGCATTGAGTAGGGAGCTCTACTCAGGCCAGGGCCCTGCAGCCTGAAGCCAGCTCATCACCTGATTCCTCTTCTGTAGCCATCCCCAGAGCTCTAGGGGAATGCATGGCAACTTCCAGGGACAAGCACTCTTGGGGATAAAGATGACTCAGGATGGTAGGGATAGGGGTAGAGGAGTAGAAATCCCCCCAGAAACCCAGAGCCTCAGAGCTAGAGAAAAGCCACACAGGGAGCTGGAGTCTGCAGAAGAGAGTGCACGCTGCAGGGCTGTCTCCTGGCGGTTGCAAGCTCGCCTGTGCTCACCTGTGTTTGCAGCCTTGGACTTCACTGCATCCCTCTGAACTCCTACTCCTGTGTATAGTAGGATGATTAAGGCTGTGTCTGTCTCAAGTCTGAGATTTCACTGGTAAGAGCTCCCAGTTTAGCATCTGGGAGCAACAGTGTTTAGGAAACACCACTTTCCCCCTCCTTTCCACAAAAGAGTCGTGAGGAAGGATGCAAAGGCAAGAAACGAAAGTGTGGAGGGGAGAGTGGAGCCAAGCCAGCTCTCCTGGCCCTTCCCAGCACATGGAAACTAATGACCATTTGCCTTCCAGGATGGATAACAAGGTATTTCCTCCTGCCCCTTCCTTGTAAAGGCCTCCTGCGATACATTTGCATCCTGAGGGCAGAACCACACCTCAGATGGAACAGATGTTTTCTGGGGGCTCTGCAAGGAAGTCAAGCTGGGCTTGGGGATCCATAGACAGGAGGGTGGCCTCTCGGGGAAAACGAAAGTCACAGTCCAAATCACCATGACCACTACCATTTGTTGAGTGCTCACCAGGTGCCAGGCCTATGCCAAATGCACTGCCGTGTTCTCCCATTTGATTCTCCCACGGATTGTAATTATTTTTTCTATTTGTCTTAATTACCTTTTATTTATTTATTTATTTTAAAAAATTTTCTCCCTTGGCCCCCCAGACTATGAGCCTCATGAGGCAGGGCCATGTCTCTCTAGCTCACCAGTTGTCCCCTAGAGCCCATGCCTGGCATGCAGCAGGCACTCAACAACTATCAGGTTTGTATAG